TGAATTCATATATATATATATAATTTGATTATTACTCTAGCGCTAAGTTTCGACATCTGATGATCAGCATGCATAGCTTTACTGGTTACTGTTACCCCCGCCGGGCTGTTACCCCTGCGAACTTAAATTAATTTTCTCAAAGTTCACTATGTTTTTTTAATCGTATTATACACTACAGTAGCCTCCTCGCTGCCGTGTTTAGTTTCGGTCACACGTAACGCAACCTCTGTTACGCGTGACCAAAACTGAACACGGACAACTCAGCGAAAGAAATTGGCTCAAAAATGTTCTTCGAGGAAGTTAATACTCTATATCTTGTAGATAAGTGTAGGAAGATTCCTGATAGAAGTTATCAATACTGATACCTTTTTTCAAATTGGTAAAAAGGGTATACTTCCCTATTTACTATACGCGGGGACGTTCCGTCAAATAGGGTCTATATTTTACCAATTTGACTTGAATAGGGTATGGAATTTCACGATTTGGCTGTCTTGAATAGTGGTACCAGCGGAATGTTCAGGTCCGAATCCCGATTATCACTACATTTATCGTCATTCTGCACATAAGCTGAAAGCGAAATCACCTGCGTATTCATTAAGTTCTAATCTGATGGGCATGAACACCAAGAATAATGGCATTTGGGATTAAATCTAGTTTCCATCATGCTTCACTCTACTAACTACTAACCTTTACTTTTTTGTTGAATAGTGTAAAATTCAGGGAGGAGTGATACCTTTTTTCGCTCATTACTCGTCTCCCAGGATTAGCGCTTATCGGGCTAATACCTAATGTGATCGGCAAGAACTAGCGAAAGTACAATTTAAGCCATGGTGTACGTTTTTCTTCCGATCATGTTTCACGGCTGATGCAGCGTTTTTTAACTGGCATAAAGTAATTAACACACGTACAAATGTCTTTAATATACTTTTATTACTAACAAAAATAGAAATTACAACTCTTTAATTTGCTATATATAACGTATTTCTTCAAAGTTCAATTGTCCAGACTTCTCTCTTTACGGACCGGTCAGGGGCTAACTGAACTAAAACTATAAATGACTACAAAGCGATCCACTCGTCGATAAACCGAGAGGAGAAATCTCGCTATATGATTATTTTAATAAAATAATCATAGGCTTTAAAAAGCCTGTTTGTAACTGGGATCTTTTGCTGGGGAGGAGTTACAAAACAAAAAAGTTATATATATAAGCGCCTCTCTCCCTTTCAAACAGGCAAGAACMATACAGCTATTTCAAAAAACGTTGTCGGGGAGAACGGCGACTGGTGATTGTCGAAGGGAGAYTGCATGACCGAAAGGGACAATGGTTAAGCTGTTTTATGATGTTTACCACATGTAAAAGTATAAATCAGTTGTTATTGTCTTTCAACTAGCATTAAGCAAAAGTCATGGCAACTTTCGGTCGTGCAATCGCCGTTCGACCATTGACTTTTGCCATTTTATCCGACAACCTTTTTCTAAAATAGCTATATACCAAGAAGCCGCTAGATCTACAGTTATACTTTCTGCTTATCTGAATAGCGCGAAGTCATATAAGCCGTGAAAAGAACTTTAAAAACGCTAGTTATCTCGCCTACTTGTCTAACTGATTAAAACCCTTKACTTTTACTTTTGTCATAAAGTGCAAACCCTAAAATCGTGAAAAAGTCAACGTATTTAGATAGTGCTAAATTGTACTGAAGGATGTTTTCATCACTATTTGGTTGACACCCGGTTTCTTACGCTTTTAGTGTCTGCACTTACTCTGCACTAAGAAAATAAAAGTGTTTCTGAACCAGTTTATACATACGTGGATTGTTAATGAATTACTCGCGCGATATACTGTTTTAACGACTAAGTTCTCTAGATAATTTGTGATTGCTTAATAAAAATAAGGCTGACGTGAGTGGAATCGGGAAATCTTCTAGCGCATAACTCGAAAAAGAGAAACTCGAAGCGTGTAACTCGAAGATTATCCGCCCAAAACGCGAGTGAATTTCTGGCCACAATGAATAAACCAAGGAAATATTCACATTATTTCTGCAATTTCTAAAATGGAAAGTTTGAATAGATCTTAAAGATTATCTTGTCAGTCTGTATGCTATAGAATTTGACTACCTTGTATAATACAATGACAACAGTCATTAGGTTGCCCTTTTCGGCATCTTTGAGTTTCAAAGATAATTCGTGTTTATACCCAGCGTCCGAGGTGTTCCGTTCAATTTTTTCCTTTCTTTTTAAAATTGGAAACGACTATCTATGGTGGTACGTAGGCAGGCGGGAGTCGATAACCCGAGTAAGCACCTTTTCTTGCACTACTTGATTGACTACTGCTACTATAACTGTACGATGACGACTTGGAAGAATTCATTGCGCCTCCTGCTCCTGCAGCAGCACCACCAGCTCCTGCTCCGCCTTCCCCACCTCCAGCACCACCTCCTCCGGCCATAAAACTACTACTACCACCACCACCACCTCCCATTGTCATAGAGGCACCACCACCACCTCCTCCCGCGCCGGGAGATGCTACATATCTATCCCCGCCACTAGCAAAACCTCCACCTCCACCCGCACCTGCGGCACCAGCAGCGCCACCAGCACCAGCCATGCCTCCTGCAGCACCTCCACCACCACCACCACCACCACCACCGCCACTTGCCATAGCAGCACCACCGCTCGACGCCATCATTGCATTGCTACTCGAACTTGAGCTCATTTGTCTACTTGAAGTAAACGATGGAGCTTGGTATGCTCGTCTTTCGTCGCCCATCATGGGCGTGGTCGCAGCACTACCATTAGGGGTACGTGGGTACGCAGGTGGAGGYAGAGGGGGTTTTTCGTTAGGGACTACCAATGGCTGTTTCAGTAGATCTTCCTTGACATCGTATTCTTCCTTGAAGACGACGGGTTTGCGTTTGTAGATGAATGTAGTTCTGTCATCCCCGGACAGACCCTGTTTGTGCTTCCGACGTAGCACAAACATTAGCCCAAGGCCAAGTAAAAGCAATAGAATACCTACGGTAATAACAGGGATTAATGTAGGTGACCACCAACTTCCAGTACGAGCAGCAGGATTGCCGTCAATAATTGGACCGCCGACCGGGCCCGTGCAAGGCTCCTTCGCRACGTATGAACCATCCACAACTCCGTATTCAGGTGCAAGGGCGGCTTTAAGGCCAGGACTAACTTTATCTTTGCCAAATTTATCGATGTAGTCGAAGTATAGAGATGTGCAATCATCATAGGGAACGTTGTCAAGGTGGAATGTCATGAACGGCCCAGGTCCGTATTCATCAACTCTAATGTTTGTGAAGTTGACGCCGAAAAAGTCCGCTAATTTCTGAATAAGTCCAACACGTGCGCCAACATTATTCAAGAATGTTGCATTGTCATTATTCAAAAAGATAGTAAACATGTGATTATACGRGGTGCTGTCGTCCTTCACTAATACTTCAAACGAATCATAGTTCATCTTRCCGCCCGAGTCTTTCACCTCGATGACAAAGGTATGAAGTCCACTGAATTCTGACATTGGCAGAGCGTATATTTCTTGGCTCGTTGAGTTCATCAAAATCCAAGATGTAGATAAAAGCGCCTTATCCTTGTGTCCTTCTAGCCTAAGGGTAAGAGTCAGGTTTCTAGTAGCTCCGTCTTCAATGTCATCATAGGAGTCCCAGGGAATAACAAACCGGAGTCCTTGATTGTGAAACAGGTCAAGTCGGTCAAACTCGTTACGTATAGTTGGCTCGTTATTAATGGGCTTGGGTTTACAAGCACCAACTTGTTCAACCTTTGCAGACTTGATGGTGAAGTCGATAGCGTTTTTCAACGCCCTTGYTGGTTTAGAAAGGCCAAATTTCTTGACGTACTTCAGCGTTTCCTCATGATCACACGGCTGTTCAGGAAGGTTCGTTAAACCAAACTTGAACTTGATCGTGGAGCCATCGGGACCGTAGGATAAGACATTTATAGTCGAGACGGGAACCTTGAAGAATTCGGCGAGCTTTTTAGCGAGATCTATTGGAACTCGAATGTCATTCATGAAAGCTTTCTTGGATGTTTTGAGATACATAATAAACTCTGTTGTAATTTCCTTACTTGGCTTATTGACTCTTATCCTAAATCTATCTGTAGCTGCTTCTGCCTTGGCTCTATCATTTGCGATAAGCATATATTTGTGCTTACCAATGTCATCCGTATCTGGCAAAGCAACAAGTTCCTGTCGTTTCTTTAAGAGTACAACCCAAGAGTTTTTAGGAAGGGGAGAACGATCGATTTGCTTCAAATCGAGGTCCAAGTACCGTGTGTTAATTTCATTCAGATCCAAAAAGGTGTCGTAGGGWACCCTAAATATGAAGGGCGTTCCTGCGTCTATACTCAAGGTACCCAGTGGCACATTCAACGTTGGTGGGAAGTTACCCAATGCTTGGCAAACACCAAGAACGTCACTGTAAGCCTTTGTAACTTTGAACCTCGGCTCAAGCGCTTTCTTCAAACTTTTACTGACTTTTCCAGACCGACCAAACTTATTAATAGTATCAAGTCGTTCTTGAGAATTGCAAGGGGTGTTTGGGAGGTTGGCGAGAAAAAACGAGAAATTGATTCCCTTCTTGGTATAGATTACACGGACACTCTCCTTTGGGACATTAAAGTGTTTTGCAAGCGCGTCAATTAGTTCAAGCCTTTCTTTCACGTCATTCAAGAACGTTTTCTCGTCTGGATATTCCAGGACCAGTTTTAATTGGTGTGTGTAGTTTCGAAGATCTTCACCAACTTGTATTACGAAAGAACTATTCACCGTTCCACCTTTAGAGTCGATGGCTTCGATAACAAAGCGATTATCTCCAACCTGAGCGCCAAGTGGTAATGCTTGAATTTCTTGGTTGTCTGTGTCAAATCTGATCCAGGAGTCTGCTGGCACTGGTTTCCCATCCGATCCGAGTAGACGGAGCTTTAGTTTTCTTGTATCCCCATCTTCTGCGTCACTGAAAGCATCTGCTGGTATTCTGTAATAAGTGGCTTGTCCACCGATGGTTTTGATTGGTTTATCACCGTCAACAATGCCTTCTTTGACTTCGGGYTTTTTGTTCAATGCGCATACACGCAGTAGTTCATAGTCTCCAGTTTTAACAACAAATTTTGGTGACAGCTCGTTGATGAGCTTATCGTTTGGTGGCCCCTTACCAAACCGGTCGATTGCATCTAGAAGGCYTTTGCTATCACATTGCTTTTCTGGGATTCCAGCAATGTGAAAACTAAAGATAAGATCCTTAGGTCCTGATCCATCCTTGATKGAAGCMACACGTATATCGTTTGGGTCAACCTTAAAGTAAGCAGCAAGTTTGTTGATGAGATCGATGCGCATGTCARCATTATCAGTAAATGTTTCTTTCTTAATGTCCAGGACAATGTTGAATACATGGTTGTATGGAAAAGAGTCCTTCTTCACAGGAATCTTAAAAGTGTCCCTAGCGGTAAGTCCACTAGTGTCTTTAACTATCAAAACGAATTCATTGTCGCCTAGTTGCTTTTCGGATGGAAGGCCAAATATCTTTAAAGAACCACCATCGAGTAGCACCCAAGAATCCGAGCGCAGGACGATGTCGCCGATTGCCCTCAGTTCAAGGTTCAACTTTGACATGTCCCCGTCCACTTGATCAACACACGTGTCACGTGGAATGACATAYTGAAATTGCTGCCCGGCATAAACGTCAGGGAGGCTGGAGATAGGCTTGTCGCAGGTTGGTGGATCTGTATCAACCTTGCAAGGTCCAATTAACGTGTATCTTCCCTTAGTGATAGGGAAAGAAAGAGCRCGTTTGAAGTTCGGATTRATTTGATCCTTTTCCTTTCCAAACATATCAATCAAGGTTCTTAGACGTCCTTTGCAATCATTGTACGGAACATTRCTGAAACGGAAAGTAAAAGTCACGCCAGGTCCAAAGTTCACAACGCGAACGTTTTTGATATCAGTTTTGAAATACGCAGCAATTTCCTTCAAAAGTTTAAGTCGTTCATTAACATTAGTTGTAAAGTCCACATTGTCCGTCTTCAGTACAATGTTGAATTCGTGGTTATATCGACTGTCATCTCTAGCGACGTTGAGTKTGAATGTATCCATTCCGATATTCTTATCAGAGTCAGTTGCCTGTAAAGTGTAACGATGCTGTTTTATCATATCATCCATAGGCAAACCGTAAATCTTTTTCTGAGTTTTGTGGAATAGAATTGAAGATGTCGGCTGAAGTTCAGCCAGCCCTTCGGTAAGAAGCTGTAGATCCACATTATATCCATCCTCAACATCAGTGAAGACATCTTGAGGCAGTGATATCTCAAATGCTTGCCCTGCAAGTGCATCAACTTGTCCGATAGGCTTGTTGATCTTAGGTTTGTTGGAGCAGTCTCCAAGTRATTGGTAYGAGCCACCATTCATGGCAAACTTGGATCCAAGGTCTGTTGCGAGTTGTGTGGATACTTTGTTCCTGCCAAATTTATCAATCAAACCTTCAAGRGTGGGGTTGTTAGGACATGGCTGGTAGGGTACGTTAGCAAAGTGAAATTTAAAGYTACTTCCTCCAGAGGCGCCAGCACTAATGGATACAGCACGCACATCGCCTGAATTGACACCAAAATAAGTCGCCAATTTATCAAGTAGTTCGACACGAAGTTCCACTCTGTTTGATAATACACTTAAGTCCATGTTGAGATCGAGTGAGAATAAGTGGTTGTATTGATGGAGATCCTTGTCGATTTGAATTGTTAGCTGTGTTTGGGCACTGGCTCCTTGGGAGTCAACCGCTGACACTAGAAATTGGTGGGTACCAATATTCTGTGACAAGCCAAGACCATAGATGACCTGAGATGCTCCATCTAATATAATCCAGTTGGACAAACTGAGAGAGGCGCCTGACATTGAGAACATCTTAAGAGTCAAAGATTTAGTATTGCCATCTTCTCTATCACGGAAGGTGTCAACTGGAATAGGATATCGCAACATTTGACCGGAGAATAACGTRATTGGACGTAGAGGAACATTAAGAAATGGCAGTGTGTTGACAGCTGGTGTAGCCTGGGGCACAACAGTAGGCGATGAGATCATGATAGTTGGTTTACTTATCTGAGCAGTAGGCGGGGTGACAACCATTGTAGGTGTGGCCGTCAACACGGGTAGTTTCCCTGGAGGAACAGCTGGCTTTCGCGCAGGCGTTGGTGTTGGCTTAAGATTAATGAGGACTTGTCTACGAGTACGTCGACGCGGACCTTTAGGGAACCCTGTGGTTATATGCCAGCCAGAGACTGGAGAGGACAAGGCTTTGTCAAAAGCTCCAGTTTCAGCGCTTGATTTTAGCAACGATGCAGTCCGTGTTCCTGAGAAAATAAGAGTATTTTACCTATCAAACCTTGTCGCCGATCTACCTTCTCCCTCCCCTCCTCCACTAACCACTTTTGTAATGACCTCCCTTAACAAAATGTCACAGAGCGCTTGAAAATCTGACTAACATAAAAGACTCTTGAAACTTTTCAACAAAAAAGTCATTGTTAGCCCCGTTTTGATTACATCATGCAATCTCTGTAGTCGTTACGAGCATACGTCGACATCACTTAAATGAACGCCTCAAAAAATGTCTGTAACATTTTGCTAATTTGAAAAACCGCGAAAGGGTCTATCATTATAAAACCCTTAACACTAAATTAAGACAGCTCAATGAAAACCGAATCTACAGCAGATTTCGTGGGTGTGCTAAGGAATGTTCCGTGCCGTAAGTGCCATGTTATCTATCGAATTTCTTCCCGTAACTGTACCGTAAATGCATAGCGACGTTGTCATAACCATGTGAAATCTGTATATCTAAASACAAACATGTTTTACCGATTGTATGGATCTGTTGTGTGTGCCTGTCCTTTATTATGGTTTATTTCAGTCATACTACCGATAMGACTAAATCGAAACTAAGTTTAAAAGGTCAATAGTGAGATTCTGTTGTCAAGCACTACTTTGCTGTGTCAAGAGACTAAAGACAGACTTACCAGCGACATCAATCCCACAACCGATCTGCCACGATATTACTACTCCGGGTTCCTTGGGCTCGTGAACATTTCCTGGTCCAGCGGTTAGCATCATGACGTCCTTGAGGTTCAAGGCGGTGCTATGTCCTTTACCTAGAGACATGTGAAGGCTGGAAACATCKACGTCAGCAAAGGCAGCTACTCTTTTCAACAACGCWGCTCTTTCTTTCCCGCCMAGTTTTCCAGCATGCAGATCAAAAATAATGGTCGCAGCCGCCACAGGAAGCCCGCTATGACAAACTATTTCCTTGAAGGCTGGAACTTTAGTGATGTTGGAGTTCCTGAGTCTTACGTCAGAGGCTACGTCATGCAGGTCCTTCACGTACAGAGTAAATAGATTTGTTTCTGTGTTTTGTAATTGTAGATGATAAGTGCCCTTGTCTCTCCAGGATGGGACACCATACAAAAGATTCTTTTCTCGATCGAAAGATAGCCATTTTGGTAAGGACTTCTTGCCTTCTTCTGTAACCTATTTAAAAAGGGATAAATAAATGAATAATGAAAATTAAAAAATCAAGGGAACAGATACTTAAGAAACASATGACTTTAATTAATCCAAAAAGGAAAGACTGTTAACTGCCAAAATGTGTTAAACATGATATTTGCCTGCGGTTTTTGTTTGATTCAATTAAAAGGAGAAGCAACGTCACTGTCAATAAAGCTGTCTTTAAACCTTCCGCGAGACATTTCCAGTGAATTTAGGGACGTGTGATRGAAGCAAAAATCCTGAGTCAATGGCTTTTGCGGCTGGACCTCTTCAAGATTTAATCTGAGTTTTATGCATAGTATGCTGAGAATGTTTATACAAAACTACATTGAATTATACAGTAAAATTATATGGTCATTTCTTACAACTCAAAGATAATGCGGTCCACGTGGTAAGATATGAATGTACCGATTTCAACACTTTTAAAGCTTCACGACACAAATATATCGATATATCACGACTTTCGGACTGGCGAACGAATCGTTACAAAGTAGAGGRGTAGRTTATTTTCTTTGATCTGCGGATTCGTAAAAWTKTGCAGATTTTTGATATAATTTCCAATCGGCTTTTTATGTAAAATTGTCATGGTGGGATTTAAACGATTCAAATCCGTCTCTAAACTATAGTATARCCTGGAAAGAGTATCAYTGGTGACACATGTACATACTAGCGAAAAGGATAAATTGCCACAAGATGTATACATCGTTTATATATACACGATATCACAAGAACTACAGCAATGCCTGAAGCCAATTTATACTATCAAAGAAAACAGAGAGTCGAATTTCATCCACAAAAATTCAAATAAGCCAAAGTGATAAACTTTCAAGTGTTTTTGTGACAGTCGCAAAAAAAATGTCCCCCTCTTTTGCAAATAAACTTGTTAGGACCTAATTAACACATTTAGATTGTTCAATTCAATACATTTTGATCGGTTTATAACGGATATTACAGATGGGCAATACAGACAATTCCGTGATAAAAGTGATTCATTTGGCCATCTACAGTAGATGGAATCTCAAAACTTCCGTTCTATTATCTCATACTGTTGATATGAATCGATGGATGTGGAGTGTATAATGGACGGATCGGGTCCTTTTGTGAAGACATCAAAACCACAATAACTCTCGAGTCCTTTGACACATAATTAGCGGGAAGCTTTTCATTCTTTTATCCGTTTTGTTGTGTGGTAATTTAACAAGACATTCGAGTTCTGCAACTGTAACATTACCACACCATAGCTCAACTTTTATAGCTAACACGAATGACTGGTTACTTCTAATTGCTAAAAATGTTTTCAAACCAAAATAGGATAGAATGGACAAATATGAAGCGTTCSGTCTTAAGAGATAAAAAATTCTTTTAATAATTCCTTTTTACTAAAACGCAATTAATTTGTAACAATTTTGCAACTAAAGTAGTATTAAACGTGAAAGCACAGTACAGACTCCCTAAGACTACATGYAGTAATTTTCCCGCTATAATTTATAAATTGGCTTTTTTAACACTGATTCAATGTCATGATATCACAATAGGAGTTTCTTATAACACGAGGAAATTAGATCAAAGGCCACAGCGCACATTGCATATRACTGAATAGACTTGCCAAAAGTKAGATTCTCTTTAAACTCACAAATAATAAAAGAAGTTAAAAAAAAATCAAGAAAGTGCAAAGCAGGGGATTAAAAGGGAMACTGGGAAAGTCTGATGACTGAACTATAATTCCTTTCTATTAAGAAAAATGTAAGTTCAATAATAATTATGTACAAAATTACAAAAGAAAGCAATATACAGGATTTTTGACCAAATATTTTGTTCTTGATTGAATTAGTCAAATTGAAAAGGAATGGCTAACATAAGTAGCTTAGTTGAGCTTTTCTCATAAACTTTAATTTACAAAAGGGCAACAAAGAGGAAATCTTAATTATTTGCTTAGTTTGACCTCCCTGTGAAAGCACATGGACAATAGAAAAAACATCTGGTAAAGAAACTTTGAGCATCAACAAATACACAATAATACTTCAGTTTAGTGTTCTGTTTTGTTYTTCATTTGTCTCAGAACTTTGTAATGTATACTCTCGCTTCATTAACAGCCCATAGAACACAAGGAAAAGACAGAGTAATTTGTGATTTTTTTCTCACCACAATTCAATTTGCTCACAATTCTCACGCTAATGCAGAACATCAGAGAATGCAAAACTGGAATATTATATTAATAAAGTATGAAAATTGCCTAACAATATATATTATACAACATGCAAACTGCAAAAAAAAGTCCTATAGAGCCATGGTTTAGACACAGTCTTGTCCTGGTAAAATTTCRGAGAGTARGTGCATTACATGCACTGTACCTCTTTTCAAAGATTATTTTGAACAGGTGCAATAGGTTGAGCTCCAATGAAGTTGTTTTAAAATGCCTTTGACAAGATTTTGATTTGGCCAYACTCTTGCTTATTATAGGCATATCAAAAACTTTGTCCAAAAATACATCAGCTGCACTCAACAGGACATTCAGTAGTAGCCAATACCCACTGGAAAGCACTGGTTTTTTTTCATAGCGGTGATTACTTGATTACTTCATAAAATTATTTTGCAGTTCTCTTGCCAAAGCAACTGAAAAATTAATGGTTGCTTTTGCAAGACCAGCTGCTCTCTCTCTATACTGAGATACCTGACAAAAAATATATTCTAGACTCTTACCATATATTTTGTTGACTTTGAATTGGAATCTTCTGGTAAGGGATATGCAAAATGTCTTCCAACAATGGCAACTACATTTGAAAGTTTTTGTTCTGATGCTGTATTAGCTAGGCACAGTCCTCCTGTGRCAATCCATAAAATATATAAAGTTCCTAGTCCATTCATATTGGCAAGTGTTCAGACACAATTATTTGTGGTGTGAATATAGCAATTKGGTGTACAATCCACTATATTATCCTTTGTTTCAATGATGCTTGCTCATTCCTAAAAACAAAGAAGATACATTTAGTGTTAGGACCAGTTAGATAGATTGATGTGATACCTTTACGAGCTAAGAAAATTGAATTAAAATCTTACTTAAACCATGCTACATGTATCTGATATGAAGCCAAGTTCTAGCTATTTTGACAAATGTACTTTACAYCCAAACAAAAGCAAACAAGAGTTCATTTATCAAACAAACAAACAAAGTTATTGTTATTCCAACAGAGATGTTGTATTAGATTTCCTGGGCATCTCTGTCAGCAAGCTGGTTATCAGACATCTACCTACAGCTGATCTCATTTTTTAAAACCCACAAAACAGTCTCTTTGGATACCATCCAAAACCAAATCTATGTAAACAACACTATTTAATTGGCATGATACTTCACGAAAAAGAACAATTAGAATCTATAGCTAATGGACTCACACTGTGATATATTATTGCTTTGATATTTAGTTTTCTTTGAAAGATAACATTCTTAACAGCAATAGCAAAGTTATGATAACAATGCAGATGGTTACATCATATATGAAATGTGAGCAGTTTTAGTAAAGATAGTGAGTTGTGAAGTGAGTGTTTTTATCAGCAGGCTTTGGATTGATCTCAAAGCACAGAAAATCCCAGATTAGTGGAATGATCTTTGMATTAATTATTTTCCCATTGTACCTACTTGATTGCATTTTTGTCTTCAATGACTTCATTGGTTTATAATGTACAGTATGTTGGTTGATATTTTTTTATTATAACTATAATTCAAAGGATGATTTGACTTTGAGACTTCAAGGTGAAGTCCATTGATTGTAGGATATAAAGTGCCACTTATCTGCAGCATAGAGTTGTAAGCTTTATATCATATTACAATCAAGGAGTGTACTAGTGTAGCCTTAGGGTCCAACTAACCAAACACAAAAGACAGCAACTTTATCAATATGGCTAAATTTCCCAAACTTCCCAAACATCAAAAATGTACCCAGTCTACATAATTAAGATATGACAAGCAGTTATTAAACTAGCAAGACAAAGGCCACAAACAAATCAAAGATAGATCAAGAGGAGATTATGACTCTCAAGTATGTTAAAATATATAACAATGTTTTCAGCTAAGATGAGAGGATTGAGAGTGGCTTTGATTCAACATAGGTTTTGATTGGATAAAGGTAAACCGATTCCAAAATAACTTGGGCTGTAATGACAGCATTGACTGAGGAATCACTAACAGTACTTTCATGTAAAAACAATGTTTGTTGGTAGTAACCTTTGCCCCACAATACATTCTCAAACTATACAATTCATAAGTGGAGGCTGAAYGAAGGTCGTCTTTTCTTCATGTTATCTATAAGTGCAACTGTGGGAGTTCCCAGAATACATCTAGCTTACATTCCTTTGATATTTGGATAGATTCACAGCCCTTCCCTAAACACATTTATTCCCAACATGATATTGTGTTGAGTGAAGGATACAGTTACTACACATCAACACCAAGAGGCAAACTGAATGCCGGGAATCAACATGTGTAGCTCGTAGTTGTCTTGTTTGATAACAGACTTAATTTCTTACTCAAGAAGAACTAATGGCTATCAATGTTATTACTAAATATAGCCCACTTTTAATGACTAAAAGGCATTTTTGACTTCATCAATCTTTGTCACTGGGTATAGCCAATATAGATACGTAGAAGCATTCTGCATCGTTATATCTTATATATGTTAATTAATATATTGATGGTACTCAGAAGTAATTACTCATCAAAAAAGTGGAAATTATCGAATAATCATCCAAAACCGTAAACACTATTATTATGATTTCAACACAWAGACGTGTTTTATGCATAAATAATTCAAAAGTAATAAAGTGAGTATATTTTTCCTAAAATACAGACAAAGAAAACAAACTTTGATGAGAAGAAATAAGACTTTATTATACGAATCTCATTAATGGTGATACGGYAGACAGTTTCCAGCGTCAACTAATATCAAAACGATGAAATATCATCAATTCTGTTACAAATCAATTCCCGTAACAAATGCCTACAAAAACATCATACGATGATTTTAAAAGAGCCACCATAAATTTTTAAAATTTAATAAAACTAAGCTTTTGAGAAATAGTGAAATTGTCATACGGATAAATAAATAATAACTTATTTATTGATATGGCTGTATTGCATTATAAATCAGCTGACCGTGACAGAAAATAAAGCATAAAAAAATCATGGTTCATGATCACAGCTAACCGCACATGAAGATCGAAGAAAGACATGCCATGAAAGCCAAACTCCCGCACAAACGTTATCACAGGAAAATTCGAATGACTTGAAAACCACAAAAATGTCGCATTGAACATCCACAACGCAAAACACTAGCTTAAAAGTTTACATACAAAACTTCTAAATGTGTTTTACATAAAGTACATATTCAAATCCGCTAAAAAGAAGTTTATACAGTGTGTTCTGTTCGAGTTTTCACAACAACAACCAATGTTAGTTGAGAATCCGTGAAGTTTGACAGCACACGAAGATAAAGAGTCACTTTGAAATGCTCTCAAATATCAAGAACGGATAAAGAAAAAACGTCTAGTTTATGACCTAAACGAAATAGGGGGAAAGTCTTACAAGTTTAGGAGTAAAACACCTCTATTATGTCACTTACAAACAGTACATTTGGTCAAGTAAAAACTGAAATCTGGCGTTTGCCCCGAAGTATAAAAGTTGACCTCTCTGAACATTTAATAGAGAAATCAAAGTAGTGACTTTGCTTTCTTCAAAGTGTAGAGGTAAACCAAACTTTTCAATTACCGAGTGCTAAATTACAGTATAATAATCGTTCTATTGTATTGTGTGAAGTTTTCAAAGGCGAGAAATTTGGCTATTTAAGACAAAAGAAACAGTGGTAAAATTTGGTCATATATTAAAACCGTGGTTTTAGAAGGATTTATGGAAATATCACTGAAATGCTCCTTGCTTGGTTCTTTGAGCCTAATTATAATACAAATGAACTTAAAAGAGTTTAACAAATGTAAACAMGAAGTGTTCAATTCATTACCAAGCAAGCAGTTGCCCCAAAACAAGTTGCATGAATCACATTAAATCTGTCACCCAAGTGCCTACCTTCAATAATTAGCATCTAAATTATTCTTGTGAGCCTTCTTCTCCGCTAAAACACGGAATACAGTGTCTCAAATTGTGTTTACACGTTACGACAATGCTCTTAAAGCGACCCAGTKGAGTATTTTGTGAATTCAAACCAACAGAAGTCTCACGGTGTTTGCAAAGACGCGAACGACAATCGAGAGCAAGGCCACCGATGCCAATCAGCACAATCCTCTTGATTGACACATTCTTTGCATAGTTCTACATCACTTCTTTCCTTTTGACCAATCAGCGCTTGGGATAACAGTGAAGAAGCCAATTAGGTGCAGTCAGTGGGTTGAACGGAAATGATTAGCATAAAAAGTTTGGGGTTGCACGCATCGTTTGCGGAGTTCAAAAGAACTCTAGACTTTTTACTCCTTTTTTGTCTCTTGTAATAAACAAATGTGGCTTCATCATCAATCGTAATATACATTCACGATCCTTGTAAGGATGTCTTTTTTGATTGATTTTTTGATTTTATTTCTTGTCGGGAGTCATACAAGCAGAACAGTAATTTTCCCTGGGGCCCTACTCACCTGGTAGGTTTGTTCAAACTTTTTAAGAGATTAGTTTACTCAAACAATTTTGTGTACACTTTATATGTTGACAATAATCTTAGGGATTAACTAAGATTTCGCTTTAATTTATGTTTTTGTTTTGTTTTCTAGAATAATTTTATTCATACGTGAGGGTCCTGAAGCTAATCCTGACATCAACCTTTAGTTCTAAAAAATCATTTTTCAATAAACTTTTGCTTGTCAAAACAAAGCAACTAAATTGACATTTTTAAAAGGATTAACAAGATATTTGCGGTGTTTTTACCCACTTTATTGCATTGATCGATTTTTCTTAGTTCCGGCAGAGCGTCGTTCAAAGGGCACAGGCGTGGCACGTGTGGTTCAAATAGAAACGCTAGAAGGGAGATAACTGAACAGATATAGACTATATTTTGAAGTCTATTGTATTGTTTGTGAAATAATAGTATAATCATGATACCCTATCCCTTGATTTGAATCATTTCCGGCAATTCATCAGCCTTGACAAATAAAAAGGACTTCCCACGCCCTACGCATCAAGCACACCAGAGACTTCCAATCACTTTGAAATTATCCGTATCATTGGTAGTTGGAATTTACTTGTAAAATGATGATTACATTGTTTTTTTAATTTCTGACATTTCTGACCTATCTATTGATTTTGAAAGGAAGAGAAAGAGACGTTGCAGAAACTAATGTGAACCTTTTAAAACTCGAATATGAATTGATGTCATTGATGTGATTATATAGCACAGTTTGAATTAGCTGTAAGCGGAAATCGCTGATAGTCGCCTCTCCAAGTGCAGGTGCAGATGGATAGCTTCAGTCATGTCAGTACAGCTAATAAGAGACGTAAAGAGTAAACAAATGTAATGGTTGAAATTTCATGTCGGCCGATGTGCGGACAAAGTGGCTGAAAGTGGGGTATAGTATGCTGGTCTATACCGATAACACTCCTGAGCTATAGTGTTGATAGAAAGGCGTGGAACCACTGAATGATYTTGCCCATGTATTATGATTGTAAAGTCCTTACATGCTTTACATCTATATATTCAAAGGCTAATTCATATTAACCACCCGACTCTTGAGAGCATTTTTATCGACTCGGAATCATATATAGACGAACTAAGAGCGGCAGAGAATCTCATCTAGCAAAAATACGCTTATTCGTTTTGAATGTGTGGATCCCGCCTACCGTTCTGCCATGCAACTGATTAGCAGTGCAGATAAATGATAAGTTATCATCCAGGTTATCATGCATAATACATGACAATTGTTGAGATAGTTCGGCAAATCGCGCAAGCTTTCAACACACGCAGATTGTCTGAAGTATTAGTATTGTCTGCTAGAGCCACACACCACCGCAGTTCTTAGTGAGTTCTCCTACTGCTATCACGTACCAAGCTTGCGTCAGCTAGGTAGAGAAATCACATAATCGAAATGTCACAGTTAAAAGTGCTAATCATGTTACTGACATCCATCTCGAACGATGAGTCAGTGATAGTTTTTGTGCACAGCGTTAGCCGACTCCATATGGTGTACAGGACTTTCCACATTCCAACGTCGCTTCCCAGAGCTCGTATTAGGCCATCCAGTGTCTCTCACCACCATAATTCCTCACACATCGGAGAAGCTCTAATCGTCATTTACCATAATTTTGACAAAAAGACAGACTCTACCAGCGAGACCGCAATAGCAGGTAGAAGTCTCAACTAAAAGAGACAAATGTCGATGCATTGTTGCTAAGTCCTGGACGGAAAAGACGCAAATGTTGATAAGATATCTAGTGCAAAAGGCCCGGTGCAAAGGAAAAGCGACAAAAACCATGTGGAGGGATTATACGCGCCAAGGGCCGATATCGCGCATGTAGGCGGATTGGAAAACAGAAGAACGAGAACAGAGTAGGGGAAAAACGACATAGTTATTACAAACTCGTCTATGACTGGGAGAAGCCTCGAGAAGATGGCTTGGGAAAGAGGCTGCCTTCCATAGAAAAGTAGTAAAGTAGAGCGAAGTAGAGCGCCTCAAAACGCTGGAAATGACATTTCCGAGAGCTAAGATTTCAAAAATTCCCCAACCCTCCTAGTACCTCCTCGCCGCTAGCCACCCCCCCCCCCGTAAAACAAATTCACGCTCCGCGGTCCCTGTGTATGACTTTTACCTGGGTTTCAGAGGTTTTCTTTTCTGTTAATTTTTCATAGTGTTGCTTTTCGCTAAGCAAAATTACGAAGAACAGCAAAGCAAAATTGCGAAAAATGTAATAAAAAAAAACGCCAATATAAAAAGAAGAGAATGCAAGTGTTTTTATGACCTGATGACCGGTTTGTGGTATTCCTGTGTATATATGAAACTGATATTTTGGGAAGGAATAAGAGCCTCGGAACGAGTTTACTGATCAGGGCTGATAAATCGTAAATATGATAAATTACACAATCAAAAATATAGTACCGAACAGGSATTTCATGAAAAATGGTTTTGGCTGAATAGAATTGAGGAATTTTATATGTAAAGCTCCCAAACGAAAATTGAAGTCACGGTGAATGCGTTACATGAGACAGCCAGTCACGATGCGACTTGAAAACGAGGTACCAATGACGAGAGCACATGTATAAATCTGTTATTTTCTACCAAACGTCATCAGCTGGGCGCTGTGGCGCGCGCCTGTAATCCAGTTACTTGGAGGCTAGAGGTGGTGAATGGCTTGAGATGTGGGTTCCTGATTGCTGTCGTTCTATGTCGATCGGGTGTCCGCACTAAGTCGGGCGTCAATATGGTGAATTGAGAGGAATCTCGGCTCACCAGGTTAGTTAAAGAGAAGTGTATCGGCCCAGGGTGGAAACACAGCAGGCAAAAGCTTCCGCGTTCGACAGTAGTGGGATAGCATCTGTGAATAGACGGCAGTRATCAGCCAYRTCAAGACAGTTGAACCCATCTCTTTTTTCTTTTTCTTTTTTTCTTTGGATATATATTTCCTATGTGATTTGTTTTTTTTTTTTTTACTCATTCATTTTCTTTATAGAATAGTAGAATTTCAAAAAAAATATGATATGTATTTTTTTAGATGAAATGGATTTTAGAAAAAAATCCTAATTACAAAAAAAAAAAAAAATTTGTTTTTTATTAAATTGGTTTTCTGTTACGTGTAACTCTAGTAAGCTACAAATATGTATTTTTTTCGATAGTTATAAGTTACTAGCACTAGTAGCTATCAGATAATTTTTGGATTTTTTAGACAATCTCGTATATAGGCGATAAAATGTTTCACGGAAGACAAAGGAAAGGTACACCGGCGTCTGATTGGCTGAGATATCAAATGCAGCCTTGGGATTGGTTAGATATAGTTGGCGCTCCTCTTCCTTCCTGATTTGAATAAATAATTGCCGTTCACGTAAAGGAAGATTTACAAAGCTTTATTTAGAGCTAAAGAAATATTCAAATTAATCTTGGGGGATGGAAATAGAAGTGGTTCAGAGCCCTAAAACTTCCCGGTAAGCAAACTTCATCATGGTTCCATTTTGAATACATTTGAAATGATTTTTAGAGCCGGTGACGTAAAACGAACATGTTCGAGTTGTGACAGGCGGTCTTAACCAATTTGTTTATTCTTGCGCTTGTTAATCTTTACTTTACTGTTAGATCACAGAACAAACAGCAATCTTTAACTCCAAGAAAGCCATGTGCTGAGGTAACATGATTTTTTGTCATAATAATCGTTGTGAATTGAAATATTGCTTGTTGATGTTGTGAAGTCAAGGAGAAATAAGCTAAGATTCGAGAATTTACGACCTACTCGAATCACCGAGGAATGTCTTTAATGGATTTTAGAATCACAATTAACAGTCAGGACTCATAGCCTCTTCTAAATAAATCCCGTGAGTCGGTTGAGCAAATGCTTTCCAACGGTCTTACATTCCATAACTCAAGTCCATTGTAAAAAGTAATTGACCCAAATTCACTTGACATCGATTTGATTTCAGTTCATATGAAACATTGACAGTAAGAATTTCTGAAATTTTCGTCGCTCGTTTTTATTATTTATAAGCTTAGTTTATTTAGAAAGTAGCCTTTTTGAAGCTAATTAATCACCTAGCTTATCGTTGTATAAAGTAATATTTCCTTAGTTTATTGGTAGTCTCAAATTGAAATCTAATTTGCAGTCGAAATTTCATAAGTTCATTTCTAACAGTTTTATTGAGCGCTCTAGATAAAAATCGTTCTTTTTCTATCAGAATGTCTGTTGTAGATTATTTCAACATTGTTATTACCTTATTACATCATTAATCAAGTAATAGTTTTTTAAAACATTATTTATTCCAAAGTTTGACGTAGAGAAAACTTGCATGTTAAATTGTGTGTGAACCTGACGCATTAAAGGCAGTTTTTTCTTTTTTTAAAAAATTAACTGTACATGTATGCACGTACTCTGGTTTTCATCTGAACAAAGAATCTCAATGATAGCATTGAAGAACCCCGCTGCTATGTGTTTAAATTCTTTCAAACTTCTATAGTACAACGTTGATAGAGGATAAAGGGATCTTGACACAGAAACAGAGGTATTTGCATTGTCTTTACTCTGTAAACACCTTCTCTGTCCTTCTCTGTTAGATCTTTGCTTTTAAAGTTACAAAGCAAATGTTATTCAATTTGGAGAGAAATAAGCACTAGTTTGTGATAGATTTCAGTGCATATCAATTTCCACTTTCCCTTAGATTGATATTGATATAAAATATTTAATGTTCCGCCAGAGTAATGATCAAGTTATGCAAATTGATAAATCAAAGTATATGTACTGTAATTGTACAAATCTGAGGTACGATTTGAAATATGCTCACATCATATCATTTCTGGTTTTCAAATAGTACTTCAGATTTATGAAATGCTATGTTGGGATATCTTAAGACCAAGTTAATTGTAATTGATGCAGAAATTTGATTGATAATATGATAAATGTACAGTACAACAACATGATATCATATGATATGGTATATAATATATATACATGTTGTATAATGGTCTATGTGGATCTAAAGATTAACTGAAAGCCAGTTATATCCTTCTTTTCCAGTGATGAGATAAAAGTCTAGTWGGCTGAGCAGTTACTCATATTACTTCAAGAGCATAATTACTTTTGAACAATCCTTCTTACATGTCTATTGTTGCCTTTAGGCTTTGAATACTACAATATGATCTTCAAATTTTAAATAAAATTCCTACTCGATTTTAGAGTGTCCGTTTGGCTTTTGGYATTCCWTATTTTTGTAGTGCAGTTGTGAAGATATCCCTTGCTTGCAGATTYGCTGAATTTGCAACATTGTTTATAGGTTTTCAATGCACTTTTAATTGCTGATTTGCAGTATGACAAATCATATTTGTTTATATATTTGTGCACTTGCATCCAAGTATTAACTTTTGCATAAAACTTTTCCCTACATGTAAGAAAACAATACTGTTCTGGATGAAACAGTTGAGTATAAATATTTGCAGAAACTTAATTTATTATTTGGAAAAACAATTTAGACACTGACAAATATTTTGAAAACCAAGAAATAATCTTCTGTGCAGCCTGCAGCTACTAAATACTACATGTAATACTTWGTTCAATTGGTGAAGACAGGACACCCACAAATGCATAATTCATATATTTAACACTTTAGCTTTAGTGCCAATCAATGATGCTTTATGTGTTGTTGTTGCAATCATTTCTATGTTGTTTCAGATTAGGAAGTGTCAGCTAGTGACTTCCTTCCTTGTCAATACTAAAACATTCATACTCAGTTGTTTTAAATACAATATTTTTTGACTCTATTTCACTCTTCCTGTTGTTCGGAGTTATGTTGTGCTATATTATTGATCCCACAAAGTCCAAGATCCCAAATTTCTTTCAAAATTAGTCTGTGATCTTCCTATTCAATGATCCCATTTATTTTTTCAAGCTAATCCCTCATCCCAATTGATCTAAGCAGTGACCGATTATATTTCCAAGTATAGCTCAAAATCCAGATCCCTGATCCCAGAATATGGCTGATCGCAATGGCAGGACCCTGCGTTGTCTCAGGTTTAGGCAACGTTTGTTGTCAGTGTTCACCATTCTGATCCTCCTACTTGAAAATCATGAGGCTGACATAAATTGTTTTTGCATATTAATTGMTAGAGGGATCAGAATTCTTCAAAAACAAAGCATCAATATTAGTTTGTTTTAAGGTAGTCACTACTCAAAGTGATATTAATACCAATATTTTCATACAGGTTTGTGTYAATAAAAGAAAAAGAAAAAATAGTTTACGAAAAAGAATTGGTTCACCTTGGAAAGGAAGACTTCGTGAGAGAAAAACACCAGAAAATAAAGCTCCTGTAAGTGCAACTTGTAATATCTTAAATTTACATTATTAACACTAATGATTGATATCAGGTGTATTAGGGGGAGGCCACAGGGTACCCATGACCCTCCATACAATACAAAGAGTTTGACATATGTGTTAGTTAAAAGTTTGCTACAATCGTTGCCAAAATACCTTGGACCGTAGAATTATTTGCCTTCAGCCTAACATTTTTCTCCTTTATTTTTTGACAGTTTTCCCCCGTAGCCCCCTTTCATCAATGTTGGGTCTTGTTTTGGATGCTTGTGTACTATGGTAACATGATGAATGACAACATTGCATTTAGGGGGTCAGGGGGGATGAAATTGTCTGCTGGTGTAGGAAATTCGCTGGAATGGTCCAAGGTTTTTGTCAACGATTGTAGTCACTAAGACCTCAGACTAATCATAAATATAGCAACAAGTAACTCAATGGACATTACAAACTTACCTAATTATGTAAATAATTACGTCTTGTCTAATTCAGAGTAGTTGCCGTCAGAACTTATTTGGTGTTGAAAATCTCCAGAGTCTAAATGTGAAAGATTTCAAGGTAAGTTTTGAGTCCTTCGGTCATTCTTCTTTAGAAAAATGCTGTATATTGCTCATGTATACCTAGCAAACAAACAACAACTAAAAACAAATGGAAACAAAAAAATACTAAGACAAGGCATCAAATTGATAAGAATAAGTAACAAAGCAAAAAAATAAAGCAAGCAAAAATTAGAAAGAAGACTTTCCATCTCCGTTGAGAGGAGGTTTTATCATTCGCTACTACATGAAGTTTGAAATGCTTGACTTTTCACATGAAAAACATACTTTAAAATGCTGAATTCAATGTAGTTGCCATGCATCTTTTATTGTTATGACTGARTGATACATATCATAAGCACTGATATGTAATCTGATTCAGATGTTAATGACAGGTTATAAAAACAAAACACCATTGACMATTTTATTGCCAATGACACCTACATGTATGAAATATCCAGTCTCAAATATACTAAAGTGTAGTCCACTGAATGGTCATTYTATTGCAGAAAAAGTTATCAACAAGGAGGAAAAGAAAATTAGATGATAACAGATTAAACACCAAGGACTCCAAAGATAAGGTATACAATGGTAACTATGGTTACAAGTGTTTGTTAGTGATTTTTACTTGATATAAAGGCAGGTTGCTAGGMAGTGATGGGCTTTACAACAGTTCCTGTTTTTCTATCGTTTTTTTTGCCTGTGRACCTAGGCTGATTTGCTTGAGAGTTTTTTCCATGTTCTTTGTTTCTGCATTATCTTTTTCCTCTTTGTCAATTCTCCCATTCATCCAAATCCATAGAGAAGGCAACTAGAGCTATGCTATCGTTCAAGCTTTGTTTTTTTTTTATAAATAAATTTTAAACACCTCATAAGAAGAGAAAAGTACTGGCTTACTCGCTTRAAGTGTAAAGATATCGAAGCACTAGGGGGTGTTCTTTCCCTCCATTTCATTCAATTGCTCGTTTACTATTAATAATATAAAAAAGACTRAAAGTTTTTTTTACAAAAACAAAGATCTCTGTTATCAAATTTATTTTGCATCWTTTTGCTTTTAATTTTTATTTCTGAAGCGCATSTCATTGCGGACATTGAATCTTCCATTTCAACGTTTTACCTATTATTTTCTTGGTCGCATTTCCTGTCACGGCAACGTTTTCTTAGAATAATTCCATCGCCATAACTGGCTTTTAATTGACAAGTAAGGCACWTTATTTTCCACGTTCATTTAAAACAGCCCTTATCATTATTATTTTGTTCAAACCACTAAATATGATGGCTTTATTAAACAACGAAATGGTAACACTGTACTGCGCAAAGCACTTGTCTTGTCTTTCGAGGACTTTAAATGGCACAATTCACAATATGACGTCACGATGAAAAGGAAATTTTACCAAAATCTCCAGGGGGGTAACCCCTCCCCCCCCTTTCAAAGCCAAAAAGCGCGAAAACCATCGGATTGATATGACATCATATTAACGTCATACTACGTCATAGTGACAATTTGGTATGTAAGGATTCCCCCAATGAAAATCCTGAATACGCCCCTGATCTCGTGAGCTGCTTTACGGTAATCAGCCATTGAACAGCGTGAAAACACAGTAGCTTTATCGTATTCCCTAAAACTATCAAATCAACTCTCGTGACGTGACCCCGACGTTTTAGACTTCCTTTCATACCACATTGTTGCCCCATCATGAATACATTAACATTTGTTCYTAATGATTTTATCCAGGGATTTAACGAAAACCAGGAAATTATTTTTTTCCTTTATTATTGAGAATTTACACGATTGAATTGTTATTCTATGCCTTTAGGAGTTGCGGTCGATTGGCAGATCAAATTTTGATCTATAGTTTCTTATCTTTCACGATGACATTTGTGTGTTGTGGCTCCCGGCGTGACGTTGTAGTGTATAAATATCTACCAATTTTCCCAATAAAGTGGGTTTCACTTTCAAGTGAGAGAAATCATCCATAAAATCAACATCATTTACTATAATTATACGGGGAAAGTTTTTTTGTTTTTTTTTTGGTGGCCCTTGACATTTTTTCGTGTAATTAGATTTTGGATGAATCTCTCGCGTTCACTTGCGACACAATGCAGTTTGACTTGAGGGCTACCTAAATTAGTCTGGAGGATTAGGAGCCAGATTGTTCACATTAGTGATAAAAGCACCAAATTTTCTGGAAATGTACATTTAAACATGTAGATTCATATTCGATTAAGAGCCACTTTGGCTCTTAACCRTGTAGGGAGATTTAAGGGGAGAAAAAAATGGTCAGCGGTCAAAATTGCTGGCTCGTATTTACACACAAAAAAGCACTAAAATCGCATTTTTTTTCATGGAAAAGTATCAGATTCKATTTCTCAAGCCAAATTTGTTCGTTTTTAGTGCTTTAAGGCGTGAAAAAGTTAAAAATATTTAGAAATGATATTTGTAAACATTTCTTGGGATTCCTGTGTGGTACAAAGAATCTTTTTATTTTTACTGACCTTCAGTCTTGAAAGCAATTTCCACTGCACTTACAAAGCGCTGTACAAGCTAGATTAGCCTTTGTACATTTGCACAATCCTCTGCACGCTTTTTTACAGCCGCATTTAATCAGTTCGCTACAAACACTGGCCGCTGGAGGTATTGTGGTCCAGATAGGCCTCCAATCATCTTCAGTCTCAGTCTAGCCCCATTGAGAAGGACTTGGTAGGATCTGTAAAGGATCAAGGGCTTGGCCCCAAACTTGGCAGGCTTGAAAAGCCGCTCTCTTGATATGCTGATGAAGAGCATCTTTTGTCGGTGGGATATTTTCGATTGTTCGCGCTCCTTGGGCAAAAAGAGACTGGCGAGCTTCATTAATGGAAATCAGAGGACATGTGCGGCTGTACAGAATTATAACAAACCTTTCTATTATTGAGAACTCTTTGTCTGACACTTCACTTTGAGGTGTTGACAGGTGACGGAAAGCTTCTGTTGCCTCAGGCATTGATTTCCATGCGTTCCATGCGGTCTTTTTGCCTCTTCCGGAAAAAAAAGAAACAGTATCACATCCTGTCAGGGAGTGGAAAAAAGGGAGACCTTGGCAAATCTCATCTTGTAAACTATTTGTTATTTGGTGGACAGGGAGATATCGTAAATGTCGTCCAACACCAAAGSCTATCCAAAGCTCATCAAGGTCTAGCTTTGAAAAGTTTGCAACTGCTAGCACGACTACATCKGTGTCAACAGTTCGAATGATGATCCTTTTATTGCCACAGGCAATGGCGTGCTTTGCGTGAACAAACATTCGAGTATCTGCTTCTTCGTGATTACATGGACAGACACCTTCTTTGCTGAGATCTTTGTTTGAGCTGATAACTTCATTATCGTATGTACTGACTAGTTCAAGACCTGCCGTGCGTGTATTTGCTGTACACTGGGCAAGGAATCTGAACAATTCTGCTTTATTTTCACTGCAGCGAAGAAATGTCTGCCAGTTGGCTGGAAGAGCAGTAGTAGCACTAACACGCCTTCGGACACCTGCACCTCGAGACATTCGAGTGCTTGACTTTAAGCTGTTATCTAAGTATTGATCCCATACTACATCCACTCTTCTTATCGAAGGTGCCTGGCTAGTGATGTGCGGCAAAAAAACAGAGTCCGCATAGTCCTGAAAAGTTTTACAATTTCTTGGAGGGAGCATATTTACAATAGCAGCTCCGTCTAGAATAACTGCATCAGCTYGAGGAGATACCACTCTTACACCCTCATCAAGACAACTAAGGAGGTCAGACTTCTGTCCTGAACGTAGGCAATTTCCATTTGATAATGATGGGGGACAAGCTTGATTTTCATGCTTGAAAAAATCTTCTAGGTTGCCCTGTCTTGCTTGACAAGCAATGTAGAGTCTTGAAAAAAGATTGCAATCACTTTTTAAAGACGCCATTTTTGTGTTTGTATTTCCTGACGAAGTTCCATTTGAACCAAAGAGTGGCAAGCTGTTTTTTCTTGATGACATCGGTAATTGGCGTTGAGCACTTGTTCAATCGTTCTTCTACATATGTGGTATACTGCTACTCTCCTTTCTCTTTTGCTGTCTTCACCGCTTCTATGACATTGCCTGGCATGATATCTTTAGTGTCAAGTACTAAAAGATCATTTGAATCCTCCTCAAAGGGATTTCCCATGGCTTTAATCTCATTTATTAGATTGGTAACATCTCTTGTAAAGGCATTTTGAACATGTGGTACTTGCTCGTGGTGGAGATGTTTGTCTTCCCTTGACAGAATAAAGGTTGACTCAAACTCTTGGACAACTCTAGCTACTTCCGGNATTATAGATACATACCTGGGGGTAAGCTGTTTATGTCATGTAACAGCTTCAAGTATTTTGCTATGTTTCCGTAACCAGAACTATATTCGGTGGATTCAGGCCTTTTTGAAGATAGTGGATTTACTAATTTCTCATTTGTCACCTTTTCGCATAAAGCACAAGAATTCCAATCTCTTTTTTTGGGTTTTTGACTCATTTTGATAACACACAAACGTTTCTACATCGTCTGTAAGTACTATTGTGGCCTGGCCTTCTGACACAGGAATACCACAAATGTTTATAAAAAATATTAAATTTGCTTAAGATCTTTAATAATTCACAATGTATAATTCTAGATAATTGATTAAACAGCATTTTGTTCTTAAAAACACGTAATTCTAGCGGTATTTGCTTGTTAAATCAACAAAATTCTTTGTACTACACAGGAATCCCAAGAAATGTTTACAAATATCATACCTAAATATTTTTAACTTTTTCACAACTTAAGTACTAAAAACAAACAAATTTGGCTTGAGAAATAGAATCTGATACTTTTCCATGAAAAAAAATGCGATTTTAGTGCTTTTTTGTGTGTAAATACGAGCCAGCAATTTTGACCGCTGACCATTTTTTTCTCCCCTTAAAATCTCCCTACACGGTTAAGAGCCAAAGTGGCTCTTAATCGAATATGAATCTACATGTTTAAATGTACATTTCCAGAAAATTTGGTGCTTTTATCACTAATGTGAACAATCTTGCATTTTTTGGGCTCTAATCCTCCAGACTAAATTAGGTGTTCACGCATACCAAACTATCAGGTTTCGTCTTACAGAAACCGAGCTTCTATCGGTATACGCAGCGAATTGTTTCCTCGCGAAAACGTCTCGAAAATCTACAAGTCGACTGTATAAAACATGGAGTAATTCTTTTAAGATTTTCACGCCTAAATGTACATTGTACAATATTTTTTTATGGAGTGAATAGAAAAAAGGCTTTTACTATTTGGTTAACTGGCTATTAAGCACTGGACGTGACACCGTAAAGGCAAAAAAGATGATGAAAATGATGAAAAAAACATCCATTGTACGACGGCAGACGATCCTTACTTCTACCAAGATCAGCAAATATGATCAAAAAACTTGGAATAACCCTATGGAAATTTTACCAGAAGAAAAGGTCCGCATTTTATCAATGCTTGGATGTCAGACGCTCTCTCCACGTTTATGAACAAGRATGTCTTACTTCAATTGTTTTATGTTTTACAGGAGCCTGATTTCAAAAAAGCTTTCCAGATTTCCAACGTTGTAATGAGTGAGACAGTGGAATCTCCGCCAACCACCAAGAAAAAGTTRGGAGGCAATTTTGTTCAGGTTTGTGCATTAAARATTCGTCATTATTGTCTAATCCTGAACGGAAATCCTTCCGCTGGGGTCAAAATAGTTTTGGTTATACTAAAAATTCTTTTAATTTGTCTTAACATTGATCTGAACGAGAATGTTTACCACTTACCCATAAAACGCGAAGGTTTCACTGGTATATATAACGGATCGTGAAGGCATCCATGTTTTGTGCTATAAATAGCAATGTTATTGTTATCTTAAGGTTGATCTAGACGACTCAATAGCAGTACTTTTATACAGGATGCTTAGCTCTATCATGTTGTGTTGAAGGTTTKGGAAATTCTTGCTGCTTTGGAGATAAGCTAAGATATCGTTGCTGAATTATGTTGACAAGACATTGTCTAGAGGAGTAGAGGAGAGAAATTCCGGGCTTGTTTCGTTTTRTAGCATATACATAACTGATTTGTTATCACTATTAAAACTAATAATATCAAATTAAAACATCAATCTAAATGCTGTCAGCTTAAAGCAATCGTTTTAAGAGACAATCCAAGGATATGTATTGCTCCATTACAATGAAAACGAAAAATCCCGGAACTTTGAGAAATCAAAAATACTAGGTAACTTTAATTCCCTTGAAAGTAATAGCAAAAAAAAAAACTTTATTGACATTATCAAATTACAGCAGCAATAATAATAATGACAGTAACTAAACAGTGATATTGAATCAATAATATTACGTTACRCTTAAAAATCATTTAAATAAACCTATCATTTCTTTGAAAAGAGAACTTAATTATTTTTTTTTTTATGAACAGAGGTCGTTTAGTTTACGAGTTGGTGGAAGTAAAGACGATAAAGATGAAAGATTTGCCAAGAAATATCGTATTTTGCCAACCCCAATCAAAATTCGACCCAGTAAGGTAAGTCAGAAAACATCTAWATACATTTTTTTAATTAATTTGTTCGTCTGCTTTTGCAGTCGCTTAGATTTTTTAAATTTGGCGATAAGTAATATTTGAAAAAAGATTAATAAAACTATAAGCTTCCTGTGATTTATTCTTTTTTTTTTGTTTTTAAGTTATGGAGAGATACTGTCTCCAAAGGCCATGTGCAGGAAATGTCCCCGATGCAACTCAAACGACAAGAGGTAATTTTTCAATGTTTYCAATATTATGATAGAGTTTCATGACTTGCTTCATTTCTATTTTATTATCTTCATCTTTGCAGGCTATGTTTGAACTGTCAACTGGCGAAGAAGGAGTCGTTTCTGATTTGAAGATGATGATTGAGGTTTGTGTCTGAGACATCACTGTTAAAAAGGCCTATTAACACTGTACTCTCACTGTTTAATATACGAGAGCTTCGAGTAAAACTATATGATAGTTTTTTTTATTGAGAAAAATGTCATTAGATATTCTTCTAAAAATGCTAATTTTGAATTTTTAGTCGAAAAATTTTAGTTGGTGATATAGTGATGACATAAAGCCCTTGAAATATGGTCTAATCGTCAAGGTGTAATGGTCAAATAGACACAAAAGAAAGACAATGAATTACAGATATAAACTGAATCTAACAGTGTTTGTGCATGTTTTTAGGTGTATTATAAGCCAATGTACAAGTTAAAACTGATGAGCGAGTACGAATTTCAGTTGATATTTGGTTGCGTGGAAACCTTGCTTAAACTCCACGAAGGTACGTATACGATAGCATACCAGTTTTGACTCAAGTCATTTTTCCAGTGTTTTTAGTCGAAAGTTGATAGTTAGTTGAGTCTTTTACGTGTTTATATATAGATAATCACATGAACATTCCGGTTTTTTTCTAAATAATGATAAGACTCAAGCACACTGTTCATTATTCTTGAAGTATGCTTGCAGTATACTCCTACACTATATTATACACGTGAAACAAAATTGACTACAGTGAGGTCCAAACCCGTGCAACAAAATTAGTCTTTAGACTATTAAAATGTGATAGTCAAATAGACACAAAAGAAAACAATGYTATTAGAGCATACTAAGGTGTATTTGTGTAATACACATTTCAAAGTTTTTCAAGACTTCAGTTTATTAAATGTGATAGTCTATTAAACACAAAAGAAAACAACGGAATTAAAGCGTACTGGCCGGGTGTATTACTACAATATGTATTTCACGATGTCTTTGACTTTACTCTACCATTGYTGCTGTATTTTGTTTGGCGGAGATTTAGGTGCAAAACTATAAAGACCTCAGCCAAAAATGGAGTTGCTAGAAACAGAATCTATAGACAGACATGTTTTTCCACGACAAAACTGTACTATGTACAAAGCTCACCATGTTATTGACGTCTTTGTTTTACACTGAACATGAAATGTTGCAAAAGTGTATTAATTGTGTATACCAAACCTGTTATATGTCGCTTTATCTCTGTCTGGTCTGATAGTTGTAGCTTATATTATAACAAGAAATACTGAACTAAGACCTCATTAACACTATTAACTAGCATTGAACTTCCCACTCGCTTCGAAAAAACTTGGAAAGTCTCCAGGGTTTACGGGGGTATGTCGTCGAAGTAATGAACGTGMTTTTTTAGATATATCGTTTTCTTTATGTCTGCAGAGCTCATTGCCAAGTTAAAAGATGCGATAAAAACAGATGGAACCACTGATTGTATCGGTGAAATTATGCTGAACTGGGTAAGTCTGACATACTTGRGGCGACGGGATGGGCGTGTTCATTTTAACCCTTTAGAACCTTTGATAAGCCTGGATTTTTTTTGCGTTTTAATGAATGGTAGTAATAGCAATAATGGATGTTCCGATATGGGCTTTGATGATAAATGAATGGACGCGGAATCGAATAAATAGAGAAATAAATGAACGGGTGAGAGGGAAGTCGAGTAAAYTGGAATAAATGGGACATTAAATGGATGAAATGAATGAAAAAATGTTAAAAGTGGACGAATCAAGATACAAAAAAAAGAATGTCTTGTGAAATGCGTTAGCGAAGATAATTGAATCGCATAAATGACCATAAATGCATGAACAAATGGTATAYAACCATGAGAAATGGACATAGCGAATGGAGAAGTGAGTGACTTTGATTGATGCAAACTGGATAGTTAAATGAATGATGATTAAATCGAGCAAATACGCCGAAAAGAATAAATCGAGGAAAGACTAGAATGGTAGTAAGTATGAGTGTGAAAAGAATAAATCGCTATTATTTAACGATTGAATTTTGTACGACCACAGTAACTACTACTGATAGCAAACACATGAATTGTAACTCGTTCATCAAGTTCATTGCKCAAACAATGACCGTCATTTCCGTGCACTTGTAAACGCAGTAGCTTCATGACCTTCACCCTGGTCCACTGTTTTAATGGAATCAAAGATTTACAACTGTGGTTTATTGTTGTACTTGATATGTAAGCCACAGACGTAATAAGCCAAATTTAATAACCTTTTCAAAGGACGACACTTAACTCTACACTAAAACGTCGTCTCGTGACAATATTTGACATTCATATTTAGATGCACTTACCTCTTTAGCACATTTTTCCTCAACTCCTGAACCGAGCGCGAAACCAACATATTAATTTAAAAGACTAAGAGGTCGCAAAATGTAGTTTTAAATCTAAAATAGAAGCTAATACATAGTCTAATTAACAAGAAAGAAAACAAATTAAATTTGGAAAGTGATTGAAAAAGTCTGCTCTCAGAAGTTTCTTTTTGTAGCGTTCTCTTGTCGTTTTTTGCTCGTTTATAAGGAAGAACTAAGCACACAAAGACGCAAAGATCACGTCAGTGTGTACATTACTTTGATCAAACGCCAACATTTTCACAACAACTTCATGCACTTCTTTTCATTTGTGTTTTTCTCATTTTCATTGTTTACCATTACTTAATAAGTTTAGATTAAAGAATCCATTCTGTTTCTTGACATCAATGTTGTTCTGATTTTATCGCAGTTTCCTCAATTAAAATGTTACACGCGGTACTGTGCAAATCAATTTGAAGCCAAAGCCGTTCTCGACGAAAAAATGAAAAATGATGTTAACGTGCAAGACTTTCTTCAGGTAAAAAATAAGGGTTTTAATAAGGGGCATATTTACTGTAAGAAACTTAACATACCAGCAAAAAATTTACTTGGGGGAAGAGAGTTAGGATAAAGATGAACTAAAAACAGGAAAKACTTTGAGAATAGGAGTAAAAACAAGAAGAGAACTCGAGGGAGGAATGTATGGGGGRAAAACTGAGGGATCCTAGCAAATATAGATTCGAGGTACATGTAAAAACAATCTGGAAGGGCTGACAATAATTTGRAAGCTTTAATCCATTATGTTTTGAAAAGGTTTTGTTCATGTAGGTTTCAGTCAAATTTTCATTATAGGATGTTGATAATATATCGAATAATATCGAAGCTAACACCGAAGAGGATTTTGGGAATTTAGTATTTTGAAGCATATTTTTCCTCGCACATGTGCATGGATATTTCAGTATCACGGGGCCAAAGTTTGGGAACTAAAATATATGTATAAAACGTGTCTTTCCATAGAGTACGTGAATTTTCTATCTTYGGTTTTATTGTTTAGAGATGTCAAGATTCTCCATTTAGTAGAAGGCTGGACCTGTGGAGTTTTCTTGGTAAGTACAGCATTTTGCAAAATTTCTGTAAAAATCAAAAATATCTATATATGATATATAATATATAGTGCATTGTGGGTAGTTTCACTCTTCGTATAACCCAGTATAACCGGCACGTGAAACAAAGACATAGTCATACATATAGCCATAGTAGTATTTCAATTATAAATCTTAGATAGGAAGAGAAAGGGATAGCTTATCTTAATTCCAGATTTCCTTACGGAAGGCTGTTTTTTATACTCGTGAGAACAATGGCGGCATCTGAGTGATRTGATGGCATTGGCGATGATTTGAATGAWCATGCTATGTCGTTGCAGCAATACTGTCAACTTTCGCCATCCGGAACCCCGATATTACGGACACCCCATTATTTCGGGCACTCAAWTATATCCTTACCATAAAGGAATGRCCGTAAATAAATCCTTTTACAAAGGACACTCGTCATTGCGGACACTAGATTACAGTTCCGAGAGTATCGTTTATGGCGATTATTATTATGACAAATTATTAGAAATAGCTATTGATCGAGCTGGTGTGGTAAAATGTATGATGATTAGGATAGCAGATATCATGGGTAATAGCAGTGAAATGTCCATTTTTGTCTTATTTACTTTCTAACGTTATCTTGTAGACTCTCCTCGTAGTCGTCTTGTAAARTATCCTTTGATGATAAAAAGTATCATGAAACTCGTAAGTTAACTGTTCAACTGAGATGTCATTACCAGCCAATATTTTAATACTATTCTTATAATGCTTAAAAGCATTGGTAACGTATTCTGACTCGTATGTATGTAATGAATTCTGACTCGTGCTAAAGCCTTGTGCTCATGTATAACGTACGAAATACACCAGTAAATACAAATGCACCAGTTAAACATAGGCATTTTCTCTGAAACAGCATTACCCAGGCATTATGGTCTAGATTCAGTACAAACATCTCATGTTCATGCGACGCCAAATCTGGTATGTTTGTACAGAAGCTAATTGACCACAATGCACCATGATTTTGTATTTCAGAAAAATGTCCATGTTCAAAACGTAAGCGGAAGAAAATAAAAATGAGTAATTTCTTGCATTTGAGGTTTATCGTATGAACCAGGCTCCARTGAACCAAGACAATTGATCTTATATTATTAATCGCCGCTTGGTATTGTTTCATTTCCAGACTCCAAGGGATCACCCAGATAGAAAGCTCTTGGAAGACGCGGTATGTATACAGGCTCTGYTGTACAATGTTARAATATTAGGGCTCTGTTTTGTAATGGACAATTTTCTCAGCAACTTGTCTCTCAGCGAMGTTACGTTACGTTGCTGKCTTGGTTTGCTCATATATTTCTCTGGAAAAAATTGCGAGTGAGGGTGTTGGAGGGGTGACTGGATGAACTGTTCAAGCGCATTGCAAKTTCTTCCGTGGCTGCAATGTGTTGGGATAAGTAGACTGAGCTTGGGGCAACTATACAGGCAAAAGTGCAGCAAYMAAAAACAGGGACAACACCATCAACAACATTTATTGTTATAGTATTATTTGTGAGACTACTCTTATTACATACTAGTGCGATTTTCCAGCAYTTGTGTTAAACATCATTCCCAGATAAACTGCCTGGTAAAATTGCTCAAAGACTGTATAAAAGTTCCACTTTTTTGAAATGATAAAATGTATACAAATCCTTAAAAAAATTTGATCTAATCAATCAAACCAACTTGTATTTCTCAGAAAGCATGTATAGAAGAAATCATAGAAGAAGTGGATAAAAAGACCGGAGAGGCTAAGGTTTGTGCGCATGTCCTTATACCTTATGACTTATAGTTATGAATTTTTGATCAAAAATGCTATCCTTGTTCTTTTCAGTGCCAGTTTGTATTGTCAAGAATAGTCTTCCTTTATGATAACCCTGTGAGTTTYACGTTTAATTTCGTTTAACCTTTGAACAGGGGCTCTATTCTAATGCTTTGTATCGTGTCTTCTCTAGTGTTCAGAACTTTATCAGTCGAAAAGAATGCTKTGTAGTGGAACCTTAAAAAATAAACATGGAACGGTAAGAAAATTTGCAAAASYTACTTTGTGTAACTGGTAGCTAAGTCTGATAAAAATATATGGTTGTTACATTGTGCAATTTTTGTATCTCAGCGATTTTTCACGCGACCCTAAACAAGTAACTGGCAAATGCATATTGTTGTGGACAAATTGCGCTTACGTCCGTACAATGCGAATACCTCAAACATTGCGGGAAAAGTTGCCGAAGGATTGATATTCTGCGCACTGGTGTTTCTGTAATACTAATGCGTTTGAGTGAGGTAAAAAACCCAGCTCTAATAGCATGGTATTGTATTTGTGCTTTTTTAACTATCGTGCTTTAATAGCCAAATTTTGTTTCACGGGTTTAGTGACCTCATTCGATTCTACCAAAGGTAGAGTTCATCTTAGTGCAATAGCTACAACAATAACACCAACGGAAGCAACAGCAGCAGCCAAACAAACAAAACTTTTAAACTTCAGAATTCTTCAGCTGTTGTTTATATAATTGCACAGTGATACAGCATCTATAGACCTCTTGTGTGTGACGTCGAAGCACCTTCATCTGGAGGACAAACAAAAGATTTTCCCCTTGCGTGTAAATTAGAATCCATTATTTTGACCTCCAGTTGGAGCTGCATCATCCCCATGAACTGCAAGGGGTCTATATATCGAAATTTATTTTTAGAAACTTCAAGCTTTCCTCTTCGAAAAAGCATTTCTTCTTACGCGGCCAGCAACTCGAGGAGGCCGGTCGAGTTACCAAGTGTTCACAGAGGTAAACATTGAAACCTAATTGAAACCTAATTGAAACCTTTAAAGCGCGCGATTTTTTCCAGTGGAAGCTGATAAATGATTTTTATGTGTTGCAGCCCATTCTTACTGAATATTTACACGTTGAGGATTTACCCGATGGAGACGTCAGACTTGGAGGATCATTCAAGA